TTTTAAGCCTAATCCTACAATCAATTTATTTCTACAGTCCTTAGACCAGTCATACAAAAAGAAGTACACCTTTACAATATCCCAAGATTTTAAGATACATCAGTGACACATTATAAACAAATTAAAATGTAATCTAATATCAAACAACTATATCAACTAGCTACCTTAGAGTTTCCGTGATCTGAGTATCACCATACAGAAACTGGCTACTTGGTGGGTAATTTTGGGGTTTCTATCAGATAGAAGAAACTCGAGTGTAGCTTTTTCGTAAAGACCCAGAATTTGTTCAGTCAGCGGAATGATTTTATTACGCACCACCTTATAATATGGACATCTAAAAAACATGTGCTCTGTAGTCTCAATCTCCCTCAATGGGCAGGTACAAAGCCTTTCTGAGAAAGGAGTATTTTTGTATTTTCCTTCAAGTACAGCAGAAGGGAGGGCAGAGCACCTCGCCAGAGTAAAGGCTCTTCTAAACCCTTTTACTTCAAGAGAAGTTAAATAGTTGGCTGGACCCACAGTATTTTTGATAATTGCCCTCATCTTAATGTTTTGTATGCTGGAAAGATCAGTTTGGCGTTCTGTATCCTCAATTCTCTGCTTAATTAATATTTTTGCTTGGTCTGTTCCAAAAGATAAGAGCACCTGGGGGGAAAAACCTATTTTCAGCAGTTAGCTCTGAACAGACAGACCAATTTGATTGGAAATTGTCGCAGAGTATCAGAGGGAGTAAACCTTGTGGGTTGAGATACCCCTTTAGCCAGGTATGTATTGATAGAATACAGGCTTCAACTTTTAAACAGCCTGTCTCCAGTCTTACCCTGGCATTTGACACACATCTAGGGGACTTGTGTTCTTAGGAATTTAGACTGAACTCTTTCTAGAGGTGCAAAATAGGAACTGGGTGGCCCCATAAATGAGCCATATAACAGTTGGGCTAGCGTCTTGGCTTTATATAATTTAAGGGCTGCGGGAACATATAACCCCCTTTGAGAGTAATGGAATTTTGCAATACTATTTGCAGCCTAATCCTACAAATCATCATCTTGTGCAACTTCTCCCTTCTCAAGCAAGGCATTATTTTTACCTCAGCTCTCTACTCTGGTACACAGTTTATCTCAGTGTTTTAGCCTCCCCCCTTCCTCTTTTATGAGGGATTTTTTAAAAAGCAATTAAAACGGTAGTATCTCCTCATTAGCTCCAAACAATACTTTGCAATACAGCAAACTCACAACAAAAGGAAAATGGACACTATTTCTGAATAGCATACATAGGGATTATTTTAACAAAGTTCTAGTCCAGGGATTATCTTGTTACTAGCATTTTTCTTTTGAAACGGAGATGAGCACCGCAACCCTAGAGTCGGATTCGACTGGCTTTCGAGCAAGGGAACCTTTACCTTTACCTTTATCTCCTCATTAGCTCCAAACAATACTTTGCAATACAGCAAACTCACAACAAAAGGAAAATGGACACTATTTCTGAATAGCATACATAGGGATTATTTTAACAAAGTTCTAGTCCAGGGATTATCTTGTTACTAGCATTTTTCTGAAAAAAGGTTTACAAATTGACAGACAGAAAAGATTGTTTCTTGCGGGGTTCCTTGGACTTACAGAACATGATGGAGTTTCCCTAGGCTTTGCTCCCAGTTCCTTAAAATCTTTCTTCCCCAGTTCCTCGATTAAGTAAACTCCAGGAATATTTTCAACAGAAGAACTTAAAATTTAGGCCAGAGGACAGTCTATGAATGTAGAGGCTGTCAGAAACATTCCGGCAGCCACCCAACACAGGAAAATCCTAACCAAGCTTGTAACATTCTGACTGATAAGAAGAAGAGGAAGAAGAAAAGGAAGAAGAGGAGATTGGATTTATACCCCGCCCTTCACTTGGAGTCTCAGAGCGGCTTACAAACTCCTTCCCCTTCCCCTCCCCACAACAGACACCCTGTGAGGTAGATGGGACTGAGAGAGCTCTCTTGAGAACTGCCCTTTCAAGGACAGCTCTTGTCAGAACTATGGCTTGCCCAAGGTCATCCCGCAGCTGCAAGTGGAGGAGTGGGGAATCAAACCGGTTCTCCCAGATGAGAGTCAGCACACCTAACTACTACAGCAAACTGCATTCAGGTATGAGTCAACAGTAATGAAACAAATCACAGAATAACAAAATAAAAACAGCAACTAGTGTCATAACAGAGCACCAAAAAGCCTTTCTGAAGAGGAACGTTTTTTGCCAGTTTTCTAAAGGCCAAAGTACACATACTGCTGCAGTTTAGTGACTGGAATTGCCATTCTACAATTTGGCCCCAAAAGCAGCCAACCGTGTATGTGATCAGGACCACAGGGAAGGGAGGCTGATATTCTGCCCCATTTTCACATTATGAAACAGCTTCCTCGGGTTGTTTTAAACCCAGGAGGGGGAAAGACAGGCACAGAGGACAGTCCCTTTTTTAAAAAAAGGATTCTGCTCTGAAATGCCCATGTTCTGCCTCTGTCCAGTAAAACTGACTGAAGTGGGAGGTTTTTCTCTGGAAAACCTTTTTGGAAACATTTGCGTGACAGGCTGTCACTCAAGGAGCTGGCCTCTGTCTTCTACCCCAGATAGCACTGGCACTATGGTGAGTCACATTTCTACTTAAATTATAGTAATTATGAGTGAATTAGCCTGTAAATCATCATGTGCAAATGTTGTCTTGTTTTTTCATTTGTCCTCTTTTTTTTTTTTTAAAAGAGCTTTTATTCTTTTACGTAATTATCTGTTGACAGTCAATTTACTCACTTCTCACATTGAAGGTATGCAGAGAAGGGCTCTAGGTGACAGTCTCCTTTCACTGCACCTACAAATAAATGTGTAGCTGACACAGCACAGGAGTAGCATGGCCACTGCCAAGGGTTTCACTCAAAAACCATAAAGTGTGTTTTGGACAAACTGAAGTTTCTGAACAGTCTTCAAGGGCCATACCATACAGAGTGTGATACAGTACTCCAGCCTGAACGTCACCCAGGCATGCGTGACTGCACCCTCTAGAAAAGCTCATCTCAAGAACAGCTGAAGTTGATGGATTAACTTCTACAAATCTCATAGTAAGTAATCCATAAACCCGCTCTTTTGTGGGGAGTACAACCTCCTCCAGAGCATTGGCAAAATAACTCCTTATTTTAAAATATGTTTCTGTTTCCAAAAATTCCTACACAGAGTGCATTACAGTAACCCAAAGACTTGTGTGCATCATGATGTCCCAAGAAAGTTTGGCAAAAATAAATAAATACATAACTACTACTTCTGATATGCTCCACTGGGACAGCCTTCCACACCTGAGCAAGACCATTGGAAGGCACTGCCCTGCCAACAGGTAACAGCAGCAGTTGCCTGTACTGGAATAGCCTACTTGATGATGTCAGGAACGCTCCCACACTAGCACCATTTCACAGAAAGTGTAAAGCAGAACTTTCAGGCAGCCATTTCAAAGAAGGGGGAGCTGTAGCACTTTTAATGTTTGTGGGAAAATCTGTAAATGGATTTTATTGTTGATTGCGATAAAGTCAAGCTATGAATGAATCAATAATTAACAACTAAACAAATACTGGTGGGTTGGTCCTCTAACCCGAGAACCAAGAACTGCAAAATTAAAGAACAACTCGACTTTTTTCCTAGTAAACGTTAACCCGGGCCCGCGGGCCCATTTCAAAGAAGGGGGAGCTGTAGCACTTTTAATGTTTGTGGGAAAATCTGTAAATGGATTTTATTGTTGATTGCGATAAAGTCAAGCTATGAATGAATCAATAATTAACAACTAAACAAATACTGGTGGGTTGGTCCTCTAACCCGAGAACCAAGCAGCAACTGCAAAATTAAGGAACAACTCGACTTTTTTTCTAGTAAACGTTAACCCGGGCCCGCGGGCCGTCACCAGCACATCTGTTTTATCTGAACTGAGTTTCGTCCGACTTGCTTTAACGCAGCACGCCTCCACGTCTTCCACACAAGGACTGCAGGATCCCGCTTACGCACAAATAAGTGTACTTCATGGTGCTTTTGTATTTATCAAGGGCAATACCTTTCAGAATCTCAAAGGCGGCGCCTGGGCTCTACGGTCTTCTAGAGAAGAGTTTAGGGCCAAGACAAGAGTATCACAGACGCCAGGCGCAACTGCCGGAACTACAAGCCCCAATATGCAACGGGCCCCCTTACTGCGGATTTCCTTAGCGGAAGCACTGCAGCGGCTCCCTGCAAAAGACACTCGCCGGAGAAGAAAATTCCAACGCTCACCTCACGTGACATTTACAAAAAAAACCACCTACCCTTACCTCTCTTAGCGTGAACGGTAATGGCGAAAGCTTTCGCCAATCCCATCTTTCCACTTAGCACAGCCTTCCCTCATTGGCGGAGGACGGTATACAACTGCCCCCCCTTTTTTTTAATCTGCGCCCTACACCTCTCGACCCTGATAGGCTCTAGGGCCGCCCTTTTGAAGTACATGTCGCTCTCTGACAGGTCGGTAGGGAGTTCCTAAAGGAGAGAAGGTGGGCGGGGCAAGCTTCACACGTTACACCCCGCCCCTTCACTGGCCCCGCCCCCATTGAGTGCGAATGTCATCAGTTGCTCGGCTGGTCAAACTCTTTTTTTAAAAATAAAAACATCTATCCTCTTGACCCCTCCCCTTCCCTCAACGCGTCGCCCAATCGTCTCCCGCGTCGTCGAGCCTCAGTGCGCCCTCCTTTTCTCCCACATGCTGTAGTACTAGTAGCTCTTCTTTCGAGCCCGGTCCCCGGTCAACTCACCCTCCTAACGGAAGCCTCGAGGGTTTTGCGTCTGAGTGTGACTCGCTCCGCCCCCCCCATCCCGCTCTCCTCCCCCTTCCCCCCCCTTCGCGATCTCGCGTGCGCGCGCGGCTCAGGTCTCG